AATAATAATAATAATAATAATAATAATAATAATAATAATAATAATAATAATAATAATAATAATAATAATAATAATAATAATAATAATAATAATAATAATAATAATAATAATAATAATAATAATAATAATAATAATAATAATAATAATAATAATAATTAGTAATAAATAGCAAAATGGTGGCAATAATAATAGCAATAATAGGTATTAATAATACTAATATTTCAATAACTCTTTGGGAATTACAATTAATTATGACGAAATAAAATTAAATACAACTTTCGAACATGATAAAAAACAGACAACTAAAGAGAAGTATTTGTAGAAATGAATTAAATTCATAACCGAGCTTATTTATAAGAAATAGAAATTGAATATGAAATATTTAGAATGGTTATCCATCAATTGATAATCCATATATATTCAATGGTGATTTCGTTGATCGTGGTACTCAATCTATAGAAGTATTCGTGGTACTTTGCGCATTTGTAATCCTAAATCCATCATCAGTAATACTAAATCGTGGTAATCATGAAGATCATGTCATCAATTTACGATATGGATTTGTGAAAGAAATAATGACAAAATATAAGGTATTGTGTAATCGTAAACAAAGTACTGATAAAGTTTTCATTTCATAATTAATTTTACTTTGAAAATAGATATTATCAATGGAATGTTTTAAAATTTTCATTTCTTCTTTTCCTTGATAGTAAATTTTACATCAGACATGTCGCTAATTATGAGAATACCATTTAGTGACAAATTGTTAATTAATTTAAATAAGCTATACAATTTAATAGATATTTTATTTTATTTTACTTGTTAAAGTGATAAAATTGGCAAAGAAGTTATACTTTAGGAATCAGCAAATGCATTAGTGAAATTGTTGGAAGATATCTTCTCATGGTTACCACTTGCAACGATTATTGATAATAAAATATTTGTTACACATGGTGGTATTTCGGATACAACAAACTTAGATGAGCTGAAAAATTTACCACGATATCGAGTAAGTTAACAGTAAGTGTTCAAAGTTAGCAAAAATGATGGAGAAAGGTTAAGCAGGTATGAAATTTCCATTCACATTTGAATGAACGGTTAAATAAATGAAAGATTAAGTAAGGGTGACCGATCAGAGAAAAGAAAGGTTAATTAACTGTCACCAATAAAAGAAAGAAAGGAAATGAGTTTGACTTAAAGTTTTCAAAGTTTTATATATATTTTTTTTAAGCTTTCAAAAATTTCGTAGTCAATGAAATAGACTTTCCTTACTTTTCTTCTGTTTTGTTTTTGTTTTCTTACAGTATGGATCAGTGCTCAGGCCACCCTTTTATTTTGATGGTATGCAAAGGAAAAGTGTTGATAATAAAGAATGGAAATTAATTTTGGACATATTATGGAGTGATCCAAAAGAGCAGAATGGTTGCACGGCAAATATTTTTCGCGGTGGTGGAACATATTTTGGTCCCGATATTACCCAGACATTTCTTGAGAAGTGAGTGCAACTTCATTTTGAGAAAAGAAAGAGGAATTAATGTACAAATGTTTTAATTTAGGAATATTTTTGATTGAAATCCTTTAAAATTTCAATAATTTTTATTTTAATATAATAGCAAGATTTTTTTCTGTATTTTTATGCTATTGTAAATTAATCTAATTAAGAATGGAATTTTTTAATAAATATAATAAATAAAGTTAGTTGGAAATGAATAAAAGTATAAAAAATTTTATTATCTATTCATTTATTTATTACTGCACATAATCTACATATTTCATTAGCCACAAATTATTTTTCTAATAATTAAATCAATTAATTTGTCTAAAAGGAACCAACTGGATATGATTGTTCGATCACATGAATGCAAATATGAAGGATATGAATTGACACACAACAATAAATTATTAACCATATTTTCGGCTTCAAATTACTACGAATACGGTAGTAATCGAGGCGCATATGTTAAATTTCTTGGTGCTAATCATGAACTACATTTTGTACAATATCAAGCTACTAAAGCACATCGACAAGCTATTAGCGCAAAAGAAAGGTTAAAACTTTTTTTTATTTTGAAAAAAGACTCGAATTATTTTATTTATTTTACTAGCACGGAGAATAGTTGAAAATCCTTTTTTTTTAATTTGAATTATTCGATTTAGTAAAAGTTATTATTATTATTGATATTACCACTTGTAATATTAATGTTTGCATTTTAACTATAGTAAAATCATACTTCAAGTATTTTAATGTTTTTTTTCCTTTTTTAACAATACCAAGCACTAATTGTGAGATTATAAGCAAATAATGAAAACCTATCCACTAATTAATGTTTTCTGAATAATATAATGATAAAACAGCGAAATTAAAATTTAGGAGGGAGAGTAATTTGTAAATTTAGGATTGATGCTGTCGAACAATCAGCTATGCAAAATTTACGAACGCAGTTGGATGTACACAATAAGCAACTACAAAATGAATATGAAATTTTGGATCCAACAAATACTGGTACTTCCATTTAACAATAATGAGCATAAATAAGAGAAGAGCGAAGAATTTGATGGATTTCAAATTGGCGAAATTTTCTCTTTTTTAGCTTGAAATCATTTTAAGATAACAATATTTAATGCAATGAATATTCCTATTTGGTTCATCAAGGAAAAAAAAACTTTCTTGTATTGCCTGAAAATTTATCTGAAACATTTATTAATATTACCTGAAATTTTATTCGAATCATTTATTGATATTCCTTGAAAACATACCACAATCATTTACTGATTCATAAATTTCTCAAAAATTTTCAAAATTTATTTAAGGTAAAATTTCAATTCATAAATGGTGCAAATGTGTTGAAAGTGTTTCTGGCCTTAATTTGCCATGGTATTCATTAGCTCCACGACTTGTCACCGTAACCGATGGTGGTAAAAACGTATTATACAAGCAAAACTCTTCATCAGCTGTACAAATTTTTAGTGGTAACAAGAAAATCATGCAGGTGGGAAATCCTTACCTTTACTTCTAATATTTGGAAATTTTGTAAAAATAGGATCGAAAAAGGTTTTAACGGGAGGTACAAATTAATTTCAGTTGCAAAATCACAATTTTATAACAATTAGTTGAAAACAATAAAAATATAGGAAAAACTCTAATTATCAGATATTTCATAACATTTTAATTTGCTGCTAAATAAAAAAGAAGTTAATTTGGAAATTTCAGAAGAAACCGCATGTGGTAGAAACATTGTATAGGCATAAAAATACTCTTGAAGCATTGTTCCGTTTCATGGATAAGGTAAAACTATTCCGCTTACCTTTTAAATCATATTTTCTAATATCAGTCAATCATTAATCTTTGTTCCATATGACAAGGAATATGTTAGCTAATCATAATTATGTAAATACTTCTCGAATGATTAATTAATTCGAATATTTCATTTAATACGCAAATGATTGGAAATTTTTAGGATAATTCAGGCGTTGTAACCGTAGCTGAATTCGTCGATGCATGCAAAATTTTGGGTCAATATACTCGTAACCCATTAAAAGTACCTCATTTGGAACAAATAGCGGAAAGTATTGATTTCAATAAAGATGGTTATATCAACCTGAACGAATTCTTGGAAGCATTCCGCCTTGTTGATCAAGGAACCGTCTAATATGATTGCATTTATCCTCTCTAATGTGATGCTCATTGATTATCCATCCAATCAATTATTGACTCATTTTAGTTTTTGTTTTCAAATAAATGAAATATTTTCGCTGATCTCAAAAATTTTAATAATTCATTTTTATTTTTTAAATATCTGTAAAAGGAAGGGTGGAAAAGCTCATGTAAATGATACCCACGACTGCCCTAAAGATTACCAGTGTTCTATCGATATACCGGTATATTAGTCATCGGATGAATTAAGCCCGATATCGATAAAATATTGGTTACACGCAGTGCAAAAACGCTGTATGTGTAATGACTAGCATCGCCGACATCTTCGCGTAAGAATACATAAATACGTGTGACCGAGTATCTCTGCGTGCACTCACGCGAACATTCCACGTCGTTTCGACTCTTGAAAAACCGGTCGTTACGAGCCCCACTTTTATTCAATAACATTCCCCACTTTTATTCAATAACATTGCCTTCCAAATACGGCAATATGCATATTTACATTATGTTTAAAAATGAAACATCGAGGTTCGAGGTGCCGTACGTCAGTCTTCAATTGTACCGTCTGTCAGAGCGCTTCACGTAACAGTAGTTAACGTCAAGCATTCACACCCACCCCAAATACCACACGTCACCGTAACTCACGTCTCACTAACACCAATGAGCAGCGTAGCTTGCTTCTTTCGGTGGCAACTGAAACGTAAACCCAACCGGAAGGTCGCATTGAAAACGGTCATTTCTTGCTTGCTTTGTAAGTTTTACTGCCAAAAACTCGCTCCAAACTCCCATTGTTGGTTGTAATGCATCATTTCCGGAAACTTTCGGGAATTCCCGTTATTCACATCGATCTTTCATTTCCGGGAAATTCCAAAAGTTCCCGTTGTTGGTATTAGTCATTCATTTACGGGGAATTTCAATCACATGAAATTAAAATCTGTGAAACTTCCAATGCTTCATTTTTTCGGAAAAATAAAACTACAAATTGCAAAATCTATAATAATTAGATCGTTTATTTCACTTTCATTCTGTTTACCGGAAATACCTTGCGTGTTTGGAGGAGATGGAAGTAATGCGACGTGGAACGATGTTGCATACAAGACGATTATGGGTGTCATCATACTTCATGAAAGGTCATTCGAAATGGGATAACATTAAAGACACTAAGGTTTATTTGCGTATCAATTTCATAGGTTGCTGCCCATATGATATGATATGACGTATTATGTATATCAGTTTTACTCACCTATGATCTCAGTTTTCTTAAAGTTTGATTGTAGGAATCTAGAAAAATATGATTGTAATTAAGGATATAATTAGAGACAGTTATATATGATTATAAATGTAGATTTAAAGGTGATCAAAGATCGCTATGAGCTCATCCGATGGTTTTTGGCGAAGAATTTTAAAAATGATCATACTGATGAAATCTTAATTCAAAAAATTAAAACCATTATCGTACTTCAAATCTTCTGTTTTATATCGGTTAACTGTTAATACGTTTGAATGATTTGAGTTGATATTAGCTTGCAGCTATGATTAGCAAAACAAGAACAGCTGAACAATTAATGGCTAAAATGAAGCGAATTGTTCGAGCTGGTGGGCCTGATCTCAAATTCAACAAAGATTTAGTGCAGTTACAGTTAGAGTATAGGAATTCAAACTTTTCGGATGCAGCATTTCAACGAGCACTCAAGAATGCGCAAGTAAGAGTTTTACATTGGAAAAATTTTTTCGAAAGAAAGTACTAACATAATCCGTTAAGTATGGTTTATTGTTCAGTCATACGTAGTAGAAATTGTTTAAATATATTTCAACTTTTGCTACTTTATATAGTTTTTATGTTTCGGCCCTTTTATCTCATACTCACTGATGCAAGCAGCAAATGGTTATAATTTTATTCTGTAAAGAAATGATTGCTTGAATATTACATTTAGCCACCTTCGTAATCTGCTGGATCAAATTGATATCCTTTGTTCAAAACTAACAAATTACTGTTTAATTAATTTCGAGGGAGGTGTGAAGACTAACTGATATTAAATATCGCATGATTTATCCATTTCCAATATTTCAGTCTTGACCACAAGAAATAATTTATATGTTCAGTTTACAGATTTCAAGTAAATGAAAAAAATGAATTTCTTTCTTATTGCATTCGATTAGACTGTTCTTAAAAATTTTTCATTCCTTACACTTGAATATTTTTTATTCCAGCTACAACCAGTGAAAACAGCAAAAATCACTGTACTCGGACCTTCTGGATCAATTTTTATCATCGAGTCGGAAGGTTTATCACAAAAAAAGTTGCTGGAATTCCTTGCATCATCTTTGGATAAGGTATTACATTCGCTAAGGGCGGGATATTTTCTTTTTATTTGTTAGAATCAGCTCCATAAATTTTCATGATTTTGAATTATATAACAAATTCTGGTTTTGTGGTTGAAGATTTCAGATTGGTGATGGATTTCAATTGTCAAAAAACGACTATAGCAGGAATTTTGAGGACAAAGGTGTTATTATCGTCAGTGCTGTCAAAGCCAATAAAACATTATCATTAGATGAGGTTATTGACACTCCTACTTAAAAATATTGAGTTTTTCATAAATTCATTAGATTAAAAGTTTTGAAATTCATCGCCATTTCGCAGCTTATAAGCCTCTTTTCTAAGATTGTTATTCATTGTTCCTTAGAATCTTTTCAACTTCAGTGTGCATTTTCATTATCGTAATGTACATTCCAAAACACAGGCAAGGAAGTTTTTATTTTTATTCATTCGCGAACTTTTCGTTAGCGAATAACATTATATTCATTTAGATGGAAGAAATTTGTATAGAATTGGATTGCGATGATGTAAATAAATTTGAAGAAGATGGAGCAACATTTTATGAATTAATGTGCGTACGGAGTAAATATGCTCAAGTATTGGCTGTTGTTGAAAAAGAAGGCTTCAATGTTAAATGTTCTGCTTTGGAGCCACGCGCCATCAATCCGGTTGAAATAGAAAAACATGAAACAGAAAAGGTTTAGCTATTTTTTCCCCAATTAGAAGTATGTTTTTGTTTATTTTACAAAACTTATTTTCGACACGTGAAATATGAATTTTACTTTTAGATTATCCAGTTTTATGAAACGCTTCGGGAAAATGAAGGTATCAATCATGTTTGCGCCAATATCAGGCCAAATTCTTTACCGATAAGGCCTCTAAAGTTAAAAGTTGCAGCACAATAATTGTTCTGTTTGTGTATTTAATACCTGGATGAATGATTCATTTGCTTTTTGCTGCAGTTCGTATAATAACTACGAATAAATTCATTGATATCATGTCTTTTCTTATTTTGAAAAACTTTGCAATACTTAATATTTTCCATTATCATCTCCGGGTCAGTGATTTCCAATATACGTATGATCCAAAATACAACAGCATATCAGGAAGTCAGTTCTTACGGCATGGTAATTTTTAAAACATCTGAAATCTTTAAAATTAAAATTTAAAATCTGTGGAAAAATATTGGACGACAATACACAAGGATTTTTCTTACTGGAATTTACTTCATGTAATAAATTACATGAATTCCAAATCGAATAAGTACCAGTTAAAAGCATGTTTTTTTGTCTTTGTTTTTAAAAAGGGGAACCAGCAAATATCAAATTTTAGCACTAAATTTGAAAAGTTTATTCCTAAGCTTCCAGTTAAGAAGGAGATTTATTCTTAAATTTTTGATAGAAAGAAAATAAAATTGCAATTAAGGCAAAGCAAATTAATTTGGCTTTTGAGGAAGAGCCACGAGTAATTGTCCTGGCAGATTTGCGAAGGAGAAAACGCAGGATTTACTGATTTTTTAAAGTGAGGTAGATTTTGGACCAAAAATTGATGAGTCAAGTAACAAATTCGAACTGAAAGGAAGAAAAACTGACCAAATAGGCGAAATATGGACTGGAATACATAGGGATTAATTGAATATACATCAAAAGCAAGGTATCGAGAAAATTAATTTGGCATACATCAAAAGGAAGTATCGCAGATATATATATATATATATATATAAAATATTTTGCAAAAAGGGGTAAATTATACAAAAAATAATTTCCCCTTTGATTTGTTATTTTTCCGAGCCTTAGGTGGACCACAGAAACATGCACGCAATGTTGGACCTTCGATTGACCCTCGACAAAAACAGGACTGTACTTTGCGGTTACCATCCTTCCAACATGCATTCTGGCATGATTGCATGATACATCGATCCAAACTTCCAAAATCACTAAATTGGTTGATTAATTTTTCTTTCTATAAAAATTTGCATATTATATTTGATAATTCATACTACTGTTATAATAGTGCTATTAGGACATGACTTTAGATAAAATTCAAAGAAATGGTGTGATATGTTATGATATGATATGTTGTGCTCCGATGTGATATCTTATGCTCTGCTATGCTATTTTATGATATTATAAAAAAATTGGACTGAAACAGATGAAGGAGAATGAGGTGAGAAAGATTGTAAAAAGGGAAGAAATTAGGAAAAGAATGAAAGTATGATTAATTTTGAATGTTGGCAACTTTTCATTTTAATCATTTCAATCACTAAAAATTAAAAACATTTTTGGAGAGTTTTCCAATAATCTAATCTCAATTATTTTATTAATTTGATGGTTTAGTTCCACTAACAATAGAATCAGTTTACTTTTCATTTCTAATTCATTCTTATTTTTTATTTACATTCAATCTCTTCCCTCATTATTAAAAATGAGTGGTTAATTACTCCTAATTAACCATTATCAGTACAGAGAGAAAGTTGACATGAAATCCTGCTTAAAATTGAAAAGCGAACTTACCAAGGAAGTGTTATATGAGGACTACAAGTAGCTTTACAGCTTTGAAATATTTTAGAGTTCTTTACTAATGCCGCTTGAGATGTTACATTTGAAAGCAATGCAAATACGATTATAGGTGATAAGATGATAATGCTATTTTCACTTCCACAGAACGATGATACTATCATTGAAAAATTATTGCTGCGGTTGTCGTTGTTGTTGTCATGAAATATAAAATTTAAATTTAATAAATTGAGCGCTAACAGAACAACGGGGCGGTAAAAGCGGTAGACGTAGGACAAATGATAGATTTTGCAATTGATATGAATGGTGAGTAAATGTGCGCAACGTCTCTCCCACATACGAAAAAAGGCTCTTTATGTTATTTGATAGTTGTGATTCGGAAAAAGGACATTTGCAATTTAGTCAATATGGAAAGGATTTTAAGGTCGGTTGAGAAGTGCTATTTGATATTCCGATAAACATCAACAACTATTTCTGGTGGTTTCGCCTGCAGGAACTCTCGGGAACAAGTTTTAGCGAAAATCTTTCAAACATTTATTTAATTTAACAATGAGAGAAGCAAATACAGGTTTCATAAGGAACTGGTCATCTACATGGTTTGTGAAGCAAAAGCTGTTCCATTAATTAATTAATTCTTATCATTCTGTTTGCAAATATTTATTTCTTATTGTTTAATTGCAATTTGCAAATAAATTCATTTTTCCTTTTCTGTTTTGTTGTTACCATACATAAATACATATAAAATGATAACAAGTGATAAAAACGCTAAAATAGATTTGTGTTTCAAATTCAAATGCAAACAAATATTTTATTCATTTATTTGCAATAATTAAATTAATGAGCATTTTTTGTGAGAGAATGAAATTTCAATCATTTCACATCGTATCATAAGGTATAATTTACATTTTACTTTGTTGGATTATATTTTTCGAAAAGAAAAAACAAAGTATTGTCCTTTTTAAATATTCTCTTATTTTTTAATAAATTTCTTTTCATTTTTGCTATTTCTTTCCTTTACTTTTTTTTTGCAAAATTTGCATAAATACTTGGCATTTCCAAAACATTTTACGATTAGCATTCCAAATTAATCAACCAAAAGTTAACATATCAAATGCTTTCATACATTTTCGAAATATATACCGTCCAATATCTGAAAGTAATTCATAAAACTTCTTTTTTTCTATCAGTGGAATAATTTTCAATGATAACTAAATATACGATGTTGTACTTCCTTCGAATAATTAAAAATTTGTATTGCACGATTTTGTATTGCATTAATCAAATTTAAATTAATTAAAATTAAGCTAAATTAATTAAATTCACCAATTAAAATTAGAAACACATTTTTTTCCAGTCAAAAAAAATTTATTTTAAACAAAACATGGCCATTATGATTTTTTTCTCTGGTTCCCTACATAGCAAAATTGTAATTTAGTCCGCCAAAATTTGAAGTTGCTATCGGTGCTCATACATTTGGATTAAAAGTAAATAATTAAAGTTCATTTAAGTATTTAAATTTTGAAATTTCAATATTGTGGTTTACGAAAGGTAACTTACATTATATTGAACAAAACAAATGAAAGAGGAAATAATATCATTGAATAATAGTCGACCTAAAGATTTAAATAATAATTAATTGCTTCTTTGAATGCTTAAAATGATTTCCAGCCATGAACAACCTAAACTCGAGATTCCTTAAAAATTAAATTTAATCATTATATAATTCCAATTTCAAAAGTCTAGTTGATTCAAATATTGAAATTTTTAGACTTAATTCCATTTACCTTCCTAATATTACCACCTGCATCCCAAAAACTTTTTTCTGTTTGCATTTTATTATGATGGCGAAAATATTTAGAACAACTCTTAAACACAATAAAATTGGAAACAAAAAAGTTCATTTAATTTCAGTAATTTCAATTTTTTTCATAAATAAAAATTTTAAATTTTAGTTCTCAAAAAAGAAGTAAAAAAGAAAATCTTAATCATAACTTTCAACAAATTATCCCTAAATTGATTGCGCAGTTATATCATAACAAAGCAAAAACGAGTTTTTTGTTTTGTTCTGTCTTTTGCTTTTTTTTTTTTAAATTTATCAGTTGAGTTTTTATTTGGGAAAATTATCTACTATTCATTAAAATTTCTAGTAGAAGTGAAATTTCCTTGAGAAACTGTCTTTTTTTTTATAAATTTTCGCATTTGATTTGTTTGTTTTTTCTAGAATTCATTCATTGAAATTCGATTTGTTTTGAACTTATCAAATAAATTTAATAAAATTTTCACAATTATTGCTTTGCATAAAGAGAAATTATTATCTTTGAAAAAAATAAAAGTGAAATATGAGAATCGCAAAAATTACTCATTAATTCATACTTGTTTGGAAGTAATTCTCCATTCTCGACCACAAAATTGACCCAATAATTTCCTGATATCTGTTATTGACTGGAGAAAAAAAAATGAAATATGAATCCTATTAAACAATAATATTATGAATTAAAATGCAATTGAGATTAATCAAAATTTCATTAAAAATACTTACCCATTTAAAAAACGATGTTCATGTGATGTACGCTCTGTGCTATTCCTATTTAAATCAGTATCCGATATAGCCTTTCCTGTTTGAAACGGTTTTTCTGGATTCATTACGGATAGAATATTTTGCCTTCGAAAAACATTCATATTGCTATCATCCGAAGTTTCATTACAATTCCTTTTTTTTCTTCAAAAAATTTTGGTTTAAAATGGATAGTTTAGACAAGTTTAGGATTTGAATAATGACGTGTAATAAGCCAATTCCAATGTTTGCAATTATTTAATTTTTAAATTTAAGGATAAAAATTATTTCGAAAATTAAATTTCTCAACATATATATGTTTCATTTTTTTTTTTTTTAATAATGCAAAAGCTTTTAACAGCAGTTTATAAATTTATCAGTTGTTTTCGAGACCTTATTTGATTGATCCATTGGTTAATCGCGCGGGTTCCAATTTCTTTTTCTCGTTCGTAACTGTAAACAAAAAAAAACAAAAAAAAACGATTTTAGTACAATAATTCAAGTACAATACAAAAATTATTCGATTTCAAATTTACTAATTTCCATCAATTTCATGCTTCTGTAATATAATGATTTGTCGATTATTGAATGTGTTTTTTTTTCAAATTTTAAATTTCTTTAAAAGAAACTTTGACAAAATATGATAAATACTTACTGATTAAGCCGAGAAATAACAGCTAATTCAACAAGTGTACAGAAAATGAAAATAACCGAACTGATCATCCATACATCCGAACACTGAAATAAGTAATTTTTAATAAGTAAACATATTATGTGGGTAGTCCAAAGATTCCTTTTGGAACTGTAACAAGCTATTAGAAAATGACAAATGTTGGAAAAAATCAATTTATTTTGGCTTAATTTATTAATAAAACATTTATTTTCTTCAAAAAGAAAGTTCTAATTAATGAGTTTGGAACAAAGAATTGATATGTAAGTTTTCCTTTTATTTTTTCTTTTGGTAAATAAAAAATTTCATAAAAATTGTCATTTTATGTTTTACAGTTTGTAGTTTGAACGATGTCTGAAGAGATCAAAGGGAAAAGAAAATGAAGATAGAGAGTACTGCAATTAATGACGTGAAAAAGAAGGTGAGAAAGTAAAGTGGAAAAGGTAAAAGTAAACTAACTTTAATATAACTAGCACGTGGTAGATGACGTAAAACACTACCAAATTGAAAAGTTACTGCTAATAATGATGATACACCCAATGTTATCCTTTAAAAAAAGATCTTTTTAATTAAGTTGAAGAATTAACTTTGATGCATGTATAATAATACTTTTACTGTATGGGATATAGTACATATATATGTGTGATGCTCGATGAAACTACCAACATTTAGTATACCACATGGGTAATGCTATGGGTGAAATTGCTACTGTATGAGATACAGTATAAGGTACAGTATACAGTATTTGCAAAATTCTTAGATAATATGGATAAAATTTTTTTTATAACATTTATTATTAGCAGACCTTGCAGAAGCAGCTCGTGCATCAAAGAAGAATCCAACCCAAGAACTAATAACTGTCAGTAATGTTGGAAAGTAGGAATGAAAGAGATAGAAACCATATCGTCGGGCAAATGTAAATTCAACCTGCAAATTTTTCCAATTAAAAGCGTTTAATTCTAATAAAATTTGCCTTCATTTCATTAAAACTTCAATATTTTTTCAAAAATGTCACGAAACTTTTTTAAATATTCTTTAACAAATTGACCGAATGTCACATTTTTTGAAAGTTCAAAAATTATTGTTATGATTAGTTCCTGTTTTTGTATTGATTATGGATAAATATGTTATTAGTGATTCTTCCCATTTTATCATGTAAAATTTACATTTTCTACTTTTGAACGTCTTAATTAACTGTTAGCACTAAAATTAATTTACAAATTTTTATTTAAAAAATTGGAAATTTAAATTCGATTTTACTTTTACAACCGATAATTTGTGTTTTGTTGTTTACATTCGTTTGAGATATTTTTTATTTTAACGATCAAATGGATATCTGATTTTTGTTCATACACATAGCAATAATTTTTATGAAGTTAAAGAAAAATCCCGAAAAGAAATTGTGCCAAAATGTTTTTTCAAGTTGATCAAGCTTTGAGTTTTTTACAGAAATCATTCAATATTAAAAGATATTAGTAAACATATTACCGGATATAAGAAAAGTAACCGGAAATTTTGATTATTATTAATCAGAAACATTAATTTACCGTTGCTCTAGCCCATTCGCCATTCGGATATTGCAATGTTTCACGATTTGTTCTCCAACCAGTTAATTCGAAATCCGGTAATTCAACTACTTCCATCATTGTTAATGGTTTTTCGTGCCAAAATAGCCGTACATTATCCGTATTATATGAATAACTTTCAAATGTAAGCTTACAATGTATTTTATCAAACGGAAACATTTTTAAATCCATTTTGCATGGCGCTCTAACTTTAAGCCTGAAAATAACAAACTTTAATAGTAACCATTAATTTTCTTTGATTAAATTTAAAAAATTACAAAATTTGCAATAAACTAATTTAATATGTTGAAATATGCGATCATTTCTGTATTTTTTATATTATTTTCGATTCAAAAAAAAAACAACAATTGCAATTTGAAATGCGGAAAATACAACTTTGATAATATTATTTTCTTATTGGTTTTTTTTTAAAAAATATTTGATTAGTTGTAAATAAACAAATAGACAAATACTTTCAAGTTTTATATTATCAATTTTCACGTCAATAATTTCTCATTCTGCTACACCTACAAGTATACGTTCCACGTATACTTGTAAATAAACTTAACAGCGTATAAAATTTGAAAATATTTGTTCATTTATTTTTACTTTGAAACTAACCTGAAATTACTCCATACCAATCCATTTTCATATATAAGAATGAAAGTATTCTCGGCTGGTGAACTATGTATCGATGAATGTCTGCTATTGATGATACATGTTTCAGGTGTCCAAATCCTTTTCCGAAACTCACCTTTCAAGGTAATATTTGTTGTGCAAACGTTTAATTGCTTAAAATTTAACCGCGGATCTTCCCATATTTCGCTATACATAAAATCTAATTCAAAATCGCCGGTTAATTCCGAAACTGTTGTAACACCCTGAAGAAACACCCTGAAGATGAGCATTTGCATTCACTTTTCAACAGTTTTTTTTTTATGATCAAAATGAGACTAATTTATACCATAGTCTAATTAGCTTGACTTTAGCCCTTTCTTTCTTTCCCTTTATTTTATTTTATACCGTAGCCTATTTTGAAAAATAAGTTTAGCGAAGAGTTTCGAATTTATAAAGATATTTAAATAAGAAAATACATATAGGAACGGAAATGTTTGAATCGGTGAAAAGTGATGAGGAAAAGGATAAATTGCGATGGATGCGAATGGAAAATGATATTCAAAAAAAAAAAAGTGATAAACAGAGATAAATTGTGATAAATAGAAATGAAAAGCAATAAACAAGCTAAAATGTGATACATTAAAGACTGAAAGTGATAAACAAGCATGAAATGTAATAAAAAAGTTAAAAAAAGGGTTAAAAATCTAACTAAATATTGCTCGAAAGCTTTTAGTAAAAACGAAAATCTCACTTAACTTGTAAACAAATAAATTGCAAGTTTAAAATACAAAATCGTAATTGAAATTATCAATTGGTGATATTAACCTGCACATGCATTTCAATTGTAACATTAACACCTTCATTAGATGGTAATAAATGATTATCATAATCACTGAGCAATGCGTTGATTACATATCCCAAATTAATTGTATTCCTGAAATAAATTTTTGCAAACGAATAAGCATACTGTAGTATTTAATATTATATTTACTTAGATATAATTGTTAAATATTGTTTACAGTATCCATTCATGTTTCGTTTCCCTTTAATTTTTTCTTATTTTTTTGTTTGAAAATATCAGGTGACTTAAACTAATATATTTCTTCTTTCCCTTTATTTCTATTTGATGTGCTACTAAAACTTTAAATCATCAATTTTTAATTTGTCATTGTTACTAAGTGATCTTTAATCTTTAAAACTAATGATTTTTATTTTAATAAGAGAAATATTAATAATGCAACAACATCTATCGACCAATGACCATTTTTGGTAAAAGTTATCGTTTTTGCAGGTGTAATTTAAATATTACAAATAATCTAATTTATTTAGATTTTAATTATAAATATTCGTAGTATTTTTCGGATTATGCAGATGTGAATAAATATCTCAACAATATATGAACTATATTAATTACTGCATAGTTAAATACAGAAAAAGAGAACTCTTGCTTTTATCATTAAAAACAAAGAGTGAAAGAGTGATAATGGTATCCTATGGTTATGATATTAGCAGGTGTTACGTAATATAATGTTGATGATAATGATGCAATGTAATGATATGGTGCAACAATGGTTGTAATAAATTGATATGATAATGACGATAGCATAATATATTGTTAAATTTAATAAATTATCAAGTTTAAATTTAATAAATTGTTAAAAATTTACTACCACTAAACTGCTTGTTTTTGTTACAAAAATTTCTTTGCAAGCAAACTTCAAAGTCCATTCTGTCATCTTGACAATGAGACAAATGCTTCAAATTAAATTTCAATCGTATATTTCAAATGCTTACCGTAAATAGAATTCACTTAAAATTGATGCGTTCTTTTCTCTCTCTTTCTCTCTACTTTTATATCTTTCTCAAAATACTTTATAAAATTCTTAAATTGATATTTCCAAAAATATTCAAAAGAGCTTTCGTTGAAAAACATTTTCTAGTACTATAAAAAAATTGATTGCTGACAATTATTTCTTTTTCTCTCTCTCCCTCTCTCTCTCTCACCCTTACTCTCCTTTTTAATGTTTTCTACGATATTATTTCGATAAGTATTTGTGAAAATTCTCAGTCAATAATTTACAAATCAGCAAAATGCAAAGGAAATGTTACAGCAATCTTAAATATCATTTCTATGCAAATCAAAAAAAAATCCTGCAATAATTAATTCATAATTCGAATTGGAAATTGATGAAAAGGAAAAAGAATTTGTTTTTTGATACTTATTGATTGATATTTGTTTTTATGATAAAACTTTCATTCATATTATAATTAATTTGCATACGAAATAACTGATTAGTCATATTAATAGCTTTAATTTATTATGAAATGATATGGTTGTTATGACTTAGTATACAATTGGAGAAAGGAGGACAAAATTATTTTGATATAGAAATTTTTTTTTTTGCATTTTTAATTGGTAATATCAATTGATATGATATTTCGTTGAGGAGAGAAGTTTAGCATTTAAAATTGCCAATGATAAAAATTAATTGAACCATATGACTTTTATTAATCAAACTCCATTAGTATTAAAAACTTCATTGAAATTTCAACATTTACAAAGCTAGAAGGATGATTTGATAAGTGAATTGTTTGTTGACAACAATAAATTTGTTATCAACGTTTGGTTATTAGCTTGATTAGTTGGTATATAGCGTAGTGATAAAGTCAGTTCGGAAAAAGTCAGTTGAAAGCAATTATTTTTTCGAAACATATATTTGGTTTTAAAGTTGGAAGATGTTACTTCGAAATTAAAATATAATATAACACTTCAAGCGATAAATTAGGTTTGAAATTGACAAAAAACAAATTTTGATTTAAATTACTGATATTCGAATATTCCTTAATTTTTTAATTTGAAATTATCTGATAATATTTTCCAGTGATAAAATGAAAATATTTCGCATAGTACGAATATTTTTTAGCCAAAAAAACATTTATATGTTAACAGGAATTATTAACATTATTACTTTATAACTGAAATAGTTTTTTCATAATTAAATACGATTTTATATGGAATTAGTTCGAATATTTTCTCAAAAATCCTCGATGTAAAGTTTGGGATTAAAGTTTATCACCTCTTGTTATCATTCCTAATAGTCAATATTTCAGATATTACAGAAGATGACAGTGTAAACAAAATTGATAATAATTATGACACTTGTGTAAATCTATTGAGGACAAACTCAATGCTTGGTGACATTGAATATGCATTTACATTATTAAAGCAAAGATATGATCATCCAAGAAAAACAATAAAAAAGTTATCTGGGTAAAATTATTGGGCAAAATGGATGGAATTATCCTAGAAACATTAAGTTATTTGTTGGAATTAATTAATTAGTAGACTTGTTTTTGTTGAAATTTACATTGAGTTATTTGTTGGGATTAATTAATTAGTAGACTTGTTCTTGTTGAAAATGACACTATCAGTCAAATAAAATAAAATTGATGAAATTGCTTGATGAATAGTAAAACTGTTTTGAGTAGAAGAAGATTTTCAAAAATTAATGAAATCATTTTAAAAATAAGAGAATTTATTGTATGCCCAGTTTGTTAAAACAACAATTGGCATGCTAAGTAGTTTTTATTATTGCAAAATGCATTCACGCATCACTAAATTGGCAGTTAACTTTAGTAAATGATTGCTTGCGGATTTTCTTATCATTTTGAGACCATTTCCGTTATCACTCTTATCTTTGGTTGCATCACAAAATTAATTCTTTCAGTAGTTTGACAGAAAATATTTCGCATAAATTTCTGGATTAGTATTAAAAATTCAATACGGTGAATGGATGTCGCAATGATACTTTGAACATTTTTTGAAAAATTATCAATTAATGTATCATTTTGAAACATTTATAAATAGGAATAAAATACAAATTGTGAAGAAGATTTACGCCTTTTTACATCATATGAAATATTAACTCATGGAAACAGATAAGTAATTCAAAATAAGATGACATTCTTTCCATTTAATATTGAACTAATAAAATAAAATACATTTTAACTATTTCGTTTTTATTTCCTTCTTAATATCATCAAATTTTTAAATAGTCAACCACTACTTTATTAATTATTTACTTACAAATCAACATATATATATATATATATATATATATATATATATATATATATATATATATATATATATATATATATATATATATATATATATATACTAGTATATATA